GGAGGTTGTAGTCAGGTGGGGGTTGGTCTCTTCTCCCAGGCAACCAGCAGTAGGACAAGAGGGCACAGACTCAAGCTCCGCCAGGGGAGGTTTAAGTTGGATATTAGAAGAGATTTTTTACAGACAGTGATCAGGCAGTGGAATGGGCTGCCCAGGGAGGTGGTGGATTCACCATCCCTGGAGGTTTTTAAGAGGAGACTGGATGTGGCATTTAGTGCCATGGTCTAGTAACCACGGTAGGGTTGGACTCGATGATCTTGAAGGTCTCTTCCAACCCCGTTAATTCTATGATTCTATGATTCTATGTTCAAGAACACACAAAATTGTTACAGTCCAAATATGAAGACCTTAAACTGAAAGCAATCAGTGGCATAGAGAAGCTCATGACAGAGGTTACTAATGCGCTAAACGCGAACATATGTTCAAACACACAATACAGCATAAACTCCTCCCCCAGCTAGGACCAAAGTGTAGAGACAACTAATCATTAACATGCTGATGAAGTTGGTAAAGAATGGTTTAATTGCAGATTTCTGTCAAATCTCTGGGGTGACACGTTTTGTGCCTCAGTTGTGCAATCAGAGTGTGCTGGTTTGAAAAGCAAACCGGTGAGAGACTCTGAATCAGAAGTACAATTTGATATGAACAACACAACAAACCAACACAAATCCAACAGTACAAAAAAGAAGTAACCTGACAGAGTCAGAAAATAACCTGACAGTCAGAAAGTAACCTGACACCCTGTCAGTCAGGGTGTAGTAGTAGTCCGATTGAACGGTGGCTGCAGTGCTCCTGGAGTGATGGGTTTGTTGGAGCAGTGATCCCGCAGATCCGGTTCTCTCCTGAAGGTCCAGCAGCAGCTCTTCTCCTCTGGGAATCCAGCAGGCAAAGGGCTCCCTGTGCTGGTCCAAACCCCAGTTTATATCCCTGTGAGCATGTTTGGCTCCCCACCCCTGGGGTGAGTCACCTCAACAATCGGGCAAGGGATAAGGATCACTGGGAGGATGTGCCATGCCTGGGTCCTTGACAGCCCATTAATCAGAGACAGCCCCTGAGGGAGGAACAAAGGATCACTGCCCCACCTGCTTTAACAGCTTGTGGGGATGATAATAGAACACATACCATTGGATACCCCCACACTGCAACCCAGGACACGGAGCTTTAATTAAT